AGCCAGCAAGGGGGTTGGGGAATTCTGGGAGTTGAAGTCCACACATCTTCAAGCTGCCAAGGTTGAGAAACACTGGGTTAGTCTATGGTTAAATCTGTGTGAGCTCAGAAAATGGGTTAGTAATGAGGTTCAGCATGTTGTATAAAGACTGCAAAAAGACAATATGGCAGACTAAAATCCAAAAATACGCACTGATTTTAGGGATCCTTTCCTCAGTAGAGGCCAGGATAATAAAGCAGACCAAAATAGCTCACATACGATCAGAAAAAAAGCCTTCCTCTCTTTTCTCCGAACTGTGGCAGGTCTTCCAGACTTTGCAAATGGGCCCTTGGGCCTGAATGTAACTCAAGCTGTAGGGTGTGGTCAAAAAAGTCAAGATGGCAGACACAACCACGTGATCCGTTTCCACCTGTTTTTATGTCTATACTCCCTGCCCTGTCGCCACGCTGAATTTTCCCCAAGTGATCCTGACCTCTTGGCTGCACTCCAAAGAAGTTTCGTAAGCTCTTACCATATTGACATGTAAATGAGAGGAGGATCCCTTAAAGGATGACTGCCTGTCGCTGAGAAGCTGCTTGCCTGGTGAATTTAACCCTTTCTGTGAGGCCTAAACTGGGCGACGCACATTAAAACAGGCAGAGCTTTCACCGTCTTGACTTTTTTTACCAAACCCTGCATACATGCCTGTGATCTATCTCTCCCCCCCCGCCCCGATTTCAAGACCAATGAGTGACATTTTGGACTTCCCCCCTGCAGGTGACTGTGCCCCTTTTCTTTCCACCATTCTTATAGAGCTGGGGTTTCCCAGTCCAAGGCCTGCACCGCTTAGCTGGCCACGTTCTTTTGTAGGGAAGGACCTTCAACTCTTCTATACCATGGCATCCATCTACGGTTTGAATGTGAACGTTTAGCTCAAAACTCAGGCACGCTGGAGGGTCTTCTCAGAAGGAGGGCAACCCCAAAACTTTACCTGAAATGGGGGTCCCCACCAGGGCCCCTGTGCTCTCCAGCATATGCATGAATCCAATGCCCGCCAGCACGTATCTGGCACCGACAATCTCCACCAGGCTGGTGAACTGCAGCGGGACCAGGGCCCCGGCAAAGAATCCGTAGCAGAGGCCGAGGGGCATCAGGGTCTCGAGGCTGTGTCCCAGGGGCACCAGGGTGAGGGCGATGCCTGTCAAGGCCATCCAAAGGGTCAAGTCGTGGACCGAACGGGAGAAGACCTGGGAATCCGCCAGCCAGCCAGCAAAGATGCGACCCGCCATGTCTGCAATGGCGGCGACCGACATGATGGAAGCCGCATCGTATTCTCTGCAGCCCACTTCCCTTGCGTAAGCCACCAAGTGGGCGTAGGGGACAAAGTACCCCATGTCCACCAGGACAAAGACCAAGACGTAGCGCAGGAAGGGTCGGTGATGCAACAGCTCCAGTGCAAAGGAGGAGGCCAGGGTCCTCGGCTCCTGGCAGAAGCCCCCCCCCTTGTCTCCAGGGGGCTTGCCTCCTTCCACAGCCAAGGGGCGCAGCACCGCACCGGATGCCAGCAAGTTCAGGGATATGCCTGCCACGATCTGGAGTGCCCCCCGCCATCCGTATAAGTCCACCAGGTACTGGAAGAACGGGGAGAAGGCCAGCGAGGAGACCCCGGCCCCCGACACGGCCAGACCCATGGCCAGTGTCCGTCGCTTCTCAAAGTAATGGGACACAGCAGCCACGGAAGGTGTGAACACGAGGGCCCATCCTAGCCCTGTCGCCAGCGGGAGAGAGGGAGGAGGGAGGAAACACTTTGGTCAGACTCGGCAGGGCCTCCAATTTGATCAGACCCACAGAACCCCCCACCTGGAGACTTCCCATCTGCAATCTATGCCAGCCATCCGGCTGGTGCGGCTGCAACCTAAAAGGCCTTGAAGGATGGGGCATGTGGTCTATGCCCAGAGGGCACCAGCTTGGGAGAGGCTGGTCTATGCCCTCTGGAAACCTGAGGTCCAACTTAGGGTAGCTCCATGTTCAGGAAGCAGGAGATGGTGGCACCAGGGCCAGGCGCTCACTGGTGCCACGTGAGACCTTCTGCACCTTCAGCAAAGGCAGCGTGGGGCTTTTGGGCTTGAGAAGGTCAGCAATCTGCAGTGACCTCCTCCAGGGCTAGGTCAAATGCCCTGGGTTCCCTTCCCTTAGGACTTTGCCCTCCAACTGCCTTAAATCTCTGCTCTGGAGGGTTGTTGTTGTTGTTTTTTTAAAAAAACTTTGCCTTGGAGCTTGCTGAGAGATTCTGCTTCCCAAGAACCGATGGGTGCCTTCTCCAGCAAGGGCAAGAGCCCTCTGAGGGGCCACGTTTGCGTCTGGTGCTTGTCTAAGTCCTGAGATGTCTCGATGGCATCGGTCTGCTTGAAAAGGGTTTTCTTAGTGCAGAGGGTTTCTCCAAACGTTTCACTCTTCCTGCGCCCCTTTTCAAAGACCTGGGGGGGGGAGATGTTCACAGCAAAAACCTACCTGTAAGCAGGCCGACACTGAGGTACAGATGGATCAGGTTGGTGGAGAAGGACGCCAGGAACAGCCCCCCACTTGCCAGAAAACCACCAGCCATCACAACGGGACGTGCCCCGTAGCGGGCGCTGAGGGCGCTCCCCATCGGGCCTGGGAGAGAGCAGCGTAAAAAGCTTAGGAGACCACTCAGCCCCCTCCACCAAGTGCTCAGACACGCTTCCCAACCAGGTGCCCTCGAGAAATATGGGGAGGGATGGCAACCCCCAAGCTCCAAAGGCTTGGTTTTCCAAACCAGAGAAGAAGACCACGCCACCCTTGTTCCAGATTTGGACTGGCACTTGGCTCTCACCTGGACGCCAGGCTAATTTGGCACCACCAGGCTGGGAGTCAGCTAAATGCAGGAGGCGCGGACCACCTCCTCCTGCTCTTTGCAGCTTCAGGACCTGCTCTCAGAGACGGCCATTACCTTAATCGCCTAATGGCAGGGCCAGCTTCAACCCCGTCGCGATATGCTTTAATCACATGCAGTAGAGCTGCTTAACCTCTGATGCCAGTTTAGCGTTTGCTAGAAATTCTCGGTCCAGCAAAGCAAACTCAGGAAGACATAGCACACCAAGCTTGTACACCCAGCCCCAAAGAAGCAAACCATGTTAGGCTTAGCCTGGCAGGCTTATCAAATGTTATCCATCCTGAGGCTGACTAACTTTGCTCAAATGTCTGGGAGCCAAAATATTCTACTCCTAGAAGTGGGTGAACTAGCAATGCCTAAGGGGAAACAAAGTCCAGATATTTCACCTCATTTTGGATGCTTCCATCTAACTTTAAACAGTGCTGGAAAGAAATAGTCAAGTGTTTCCCCCCTCCCCTTCTTACAGTATAGCTAAAGGAAATCAAATTAAAGGTAGTCCTCACTTAACGACCATAACTGGGACTGGAATTTAGGTCGCTAAATGATGTGGTTGTTAAGTGAAGCATCATGATGGACCCAATTTTACGACCTTTTGTGCAGCAGTCATTAAGTGAATCACGTGGTCGTTAAGCAAATCACGCAGTTCTTAAGTGAATCACGTGGTTCCCCATTGATTTTGCTTGCCGGAAGCCAGCTGGGAAGGTTGGAAGTGGTGATCGCACGACCCCGGGACGCTGCAACTGTCATAAGTGTGAGCTGGTTGCCAAGTACCCAGATCGCGATCACGTGACTGTGGGGGTGCTGCGATGGTTGTAAGTGTGAGGACAGGTTGTAAGTCCCTTTGTTCAGCACCTTTGTAACTTTGGTCACTAAACAAATAGTTGTCAAGTGAGGACTACCTGTTCACCGTTTTAAGTTTTGCAGTGCCAGTTAGGTGCAAAAGGCTTGAAATACCTTTTCCAGCGATATTGTCTCTTTTCACACACCCAAGAGCGACTCAGATGAATGCACAAAAGCCTCTCCTGCTCCACTCTTCCCACTTTCCCTTGCCAGGGCACTCTCCAGAGCTGGATTACAACCCCCATCAGCCCCTGCCATGCTCACTGGGGGACGCTGCACCCCTCTGGTAGATCCGTGCTTGGCCAGCCTGCAAGCGCCCTTCCCTGCGGAGCAAAGCTTCTCCCTTACTTGCAAACTGCAGGACGGCGATCCCCAGGGACACCACCCAGGAGATGCTGCTGGAGGATTCTCCGAAATGGGCCAGAAACTCCACAAAGAAGACGCCGAAGGAGCGGATCACCCCGAAGACCAGGGCCGACTGCACAAAGCCTGCCAGGACGACCATCCATCCCCACCCGCCGTCCGGAGCGGCTGGAGCCGCGGGAGAAGACGTGGGCACCTGGTCCTTTCCGGAGGCAGAAGGTGGAAGGACAGAGCAGAGAAGGGGGAAAAAAAAACAGTGAAGCAGCCCGGCTGGTGTGGAAAAAGGCAGAGAGCAACAACTGAAAAAAAGAGAAACCAGGGCTACAGATGCAAAGCAATTCAAATGCCCAGATTGCACCACTTTTGCCATCACAATGGCTTGTCTCTTTTTGCTATATTTCTTTCTTTTCTTCACTTTTTGCCACCTCCACCTCCTCCTCCTCCTCCTCCTCCTCCTCCTCCTCTTCTTCTTCTTCTTCTTCTTCTTCTTCTTCTTCTTCTTCTT